TATATACACAAATATATATATGTATATATATATATATGTATACGTACAAGCATTGTGGCTTCAAATGGACGATCACGTGCATGTTATATATACAGAAAAAAAAGAAATGATAGAAAAGAAATTGTTATAATTATAAAAAAAAAAAAAGAAAAAAAAAGAAAAACTACATTGTAATATCGTAAAAACTTTTAAAATGTAGACTTGCAGCAGAGAAAATGTATGTATGTGTGCGTGTACGTATTGCGTGCGTGCGTGTATTATTCCTAATCAAAAAAATCCTGCCATACCGTGTCTTCCAAGACAGAAAACTATAAAACACTATTGTAAATTAGATAAAAATTATTTATATATACCTCCGAGACCCATAACTTATTATTGTATACCATGTATAAATAAGCAACAAAAGAATGTGCGAGAGTGAAATAGAAAAGAGAGAGAGAGAGAGAGAGAGAGAGAGAGAGAGAGAGAGAGAGAGAGAGAGAGAATATAATATAAACAATTTCGTACATTCGTGCGATTGTGGATGAGAAAATAAGTGCGTGTGCAACTTATGAAACATTCTTTTAACATTACATACATACATACGTACATTTAGTGACTAGATTTATCCAGTGAATTTGATCGGCGAGAAAAATATTCGAAGGAATGTCGACGTTTTCAAACGAATTTTCACGAATTTTCACAACGAAAATTTCATGTTTTATCTGAATTACATAACAAAATCATACTTAGATTTGTTATGCAAAACAAAAAAAAATAAAATGAATACGACTTTCTTAAAAAGGAGACTTGAAAAAATTTTTCTCGATCGATCTCTATATATATATATATATGTGTGTGTGCGTGTGTATATGTATTTGTATATACATATACATATAAATAAAATAAACAAAATAATATACACCGACACTTACACAAGGAAAAATACACGAACACGCGAATGTACATACCTAACATTGCACTAATTTAGTATTGCCGCTGAGTATTACAACTAGTCACATAAGCCAAAAGTTTGTTACTCTCATAAAAGTTTTCTTTTTTTCCAGTTTTATAAATAAAGAAGGTTTAAAAGCCCATACAAATGATGTATATAGCACGATTTTATATTTTCGTGATTGCTGTCAATCTTATCCCTTGTTAAATGTTTGAAACGAATGCATCATCGATCTTTCAAAGAGATTCAATGCATGAAAAAAAAAAAAGAAAAAAAAGGAAAGAATGAATTCTGACTTTTCATTTATATACGTAAAGTTCGAAGTCGAAGTAATCGCACAATCATCGTACGTTTAGTGTTGCATGCAACTGCCATAAGTCTTGCGATAAACGAACGAGAGTCGTGCGCATTGTGCTGTTGTGCGTTTAGAAAGTTGCTCCAAAGTTATTTCTTTTTATCGTTAAGGAAATCTATTTTATTTTGATACTCTTTCTGATCGACGTAAAAAAAAAAAAAAGAAAAAAAAAGAAGAGAAAAAAATAGTGTTTAACATTATTTTCTTTTGTGACTTCGTTAACGAAACGTTCAAAATGTCGATCTTCATCTTCCTTTTTCCTTTCTCTTTCGACACGATCGCTTAATGACGTCAGTTTATATACCACATTGACTACAAAAGAAGATCGTGCTAAGAATTCTATAAAGATTTCATTGATATTGGTACGTACTTCAAAATGTATATAAAATTTTAATTATCAATCAGGATTGAGTTTCGCTTAAGGAAAAAGAAATGTACATCATTCATTTATCAAAATTATTCATATGTTATGTTTCACTATTTTCATTCATCGAAAGAATATAACGTAAACATAAATAATTCGAGATAAATCTGAAATTTTAAATAACGATAAGGAGAAAGGAGATCGAGCTTTACGAAAAAAAAACGAGAGAACGAGAGAGAGAGAGAGAGAGAGAAGAATAAACAGTATTTGATTACAAAAAAATTCTTTTTATATTCCGTTTCGCAAATTTCATAGATTGAACGGATATCGAAGCATAAACACGCGGTGATGTAAAACTTCTTTCGCCGGCGTTTCGGTGTTAAAGACAAATAAGCAATATTAACATCTTTTGATAGTCTTTCACGCATGAACGCAAACGCAAATACGAAGCAAGTTTTAGCATTCTTAATCGAGTTTTGCCAGCACGTCACTGGCGATATGTAACTTGTCTACCATTTTCAAATAGAAACTCAAGACGTTTTATTCTGACTGTCGTAACCGCGCTAATAAGTAGGTCTCACGCCGTTAGTTTTCACGAGGAAATACCCGAACCAAGTTATCGTCGTCGATCCGAAATTATTTGGATGGATAACAAACAAGAAAAAAGATAAAAGAAAAAAAAAAGAAATAATCAAAGAGAATCTTCTCGTCTTTCTCCCGAACGAACTTGAACTCGTGAAAAAAGAAGGAATTAGTCTCTTTACTTCTTATATCGTATATCGTCATTAGTTTTGTAACGATACGTTCTGTAAAGAAATCGAGCAAGGAAGGACTTCCATTGAAACACTTTCTTTGCGGTTGCACGTTACAGGATTGATACGCAAGAAGACATCGAGAACGATCGTATAGAACAAGTTTAGATCGATGGAAGAGGATCGAAAAATAATGTGGACAAAAGTGATCGTCTTAATTCTCATATCCCTTTTAATGATTTTCGAAGTAAGGACGAAGGAGACGTGTAGCTTGGACAACGAAGATGGTAATTTAATTGTTATAACATATTCTCTTTATAATAAATCCCTTTAACAATTATGTAAAGTCTCTCTTAGAAGAAGAAGAAAGTAGATTTCGTTCGTTCGATTTGATCAGATTTCCAACAGTCTCACGTGGGGTTGATCATCTCACCAATGATGTCGGAATCAATGATTCGTGAACTCGAAATTTATTGGAATCATCCAAAGTATCGATCGGATAGCGACAGGATCGCACTTTACACGGGTGATCCAGCGAATGGATCCGAACCGATTCTCATTTTGGAACCAAAATCTTCGAGCGGTATAAAGAGTACAGGAATTCAGGCCGAATATCTGCCTACTATGAATTTGACCTATCACAGGGAGTGTCTCAGTGTGTTTTGAAAAAATTATTTTATTCTTTTTTTCTTTCTTTTATCAATTTAATTAACAACTTTAAAGTGTTAATCGTTTGTTTGTGTTTAGAGTATCACGTTGCTTGGCTGAGGAATGGTGACCTGAGAAAAGTGAATTGTCTCGAAACGCGCCCCAATTGGATGGCCGAGAGAAAAGAAATTCTAGGTCCTCTTAAGATGAATAAAATATTTTTACCAGGCACACACGATTCAGCATCCTATGCGATCTACGAACGGGCTGATCGAGAGAAGATTATTGAGAAATACGTTATAACGCAGGTGAAAATGGCATTCGCCTGTCGATTATAAATTTTCTTTTCCCTATTCGTTCGATTCGAGCAACGTTCGAGATTTTTCATAGCTTTCAGGACATAGACGTACTCGCGCAATTGATATACGGAGTACGATATTTGGACATTCGAGTTGGACATTATCCTCTCACGAATGAAATCTGGTGGGCTAATCATGGAATCGTACAGTTGATACCATTACGAGTCATCATCGAGCAAGTGAAAGAATTTCTCGATAATACCGAGGAGATCGTGATCTTTGACGTTCAAGAATTTCCAGTTGGTAATTATTATTAATGTTAAAGTGTCGTTTGAAAAGAAACAGTTTAACTGAATACTTGTTAATCATCTTAATATGGGACACGTGCCTTCAACAGGATTTCATAAAAACTTGTCCATACATCAGCAGTTCGTTAAATATTTAGAGAAACAATTTGTGGGTTACTATTTACCTTACAAAACCGGTTGGTTCACAACATTGAATGCGATTTGGTCCTCGGAAAGAAGACTGATTATCGGTTACGATGAGAAACAAATTCTCAGCTTTTCTGAAAGCCTTTGGCCTTGCGTTACTCATCAATGGGGTAACGTTCAAACTATCGATGATCTTTATAGATATCTTAATCGTATCGAAACATCAAGTCTCTGGTAAATAGATTCTTGATTTTGAAAAATTTTCCCTTAACCCTGATTACCACCTACAATTTTGGTATCTTCCTTTCAGGGATTACAAAACAACGCCAAGATCAGCGATGGCGGAATTGACGCCTAATATGTGGTACGTGATTTCAAACAGATTTCAAACGAGTCTTCGTCAAATGGCCGATAAAGTTAATGCCAATGTCACGAATTGGTATGCAACAAAATGGCAATATACAGCTAACATCGTCGCGGTTGACTTTGTAAGAGGTTCTGGCATCGTTGAGACTTCCATCGAGTGGAATGATCGACGAAACTCAAACTGTTAAAAACAGTATAAAAATATATTTCAGCTTGAATCCATTTGATTATACTGTTTACTGATTTCACTTGATCATAACGCTTAACTTTTTTCTCACATATTGTCAACGAAAGAGCGATATAGATATTTTTTCTGTCTTGTATTATTAACTATTTTAACTGGACTAGCCCATTCTTTTTCCTCGTTTTATCTCAAAAAAAAAAAAAAAAAAAAAAAAAAAAAAAACGAGTCATATAATACATGTACTTTTTGCGTGACAAAGAGATTTCCGGCGGAAGAAGAAATAACAATACCGTCAAGGAGATCAATAGAAATACCAAGTCCTGGTCGTACATTGCCAGATATCAGTTTATCGTTTGTCACGGATAATGACGGTTGTCGATAGGAATAAAAAATAAACTTGTTTACCGCAGCACTAATTCCTTGGTTGAAATAATAAGTAAAAGAGTAAAATGTTACGATTAATGATATTTATATCGATTGTTATATTGTTACTTTCGGATAAAGTAACTATGACAAGCAACACCTTTTTCTGTCGAAACAATCAACAGTGTACGTTTCTTGAATACTGTCCAGATAAGGTGATTCTCATGAAAAGGAATGAACTTTCAATACACAGGTACATTTGATGCGTCTTGATAAAGCAAAACTTGTGTAAAGGGCTTATAAATTTGATTACAGTTTGCGTCAATCGATATGCGATTATTCAGGGTTAAGACCAAAAGTGTGTTGCGATATAAGTTATTCCCCTAGGTCGATATTACCCGAACAAAATATAATATCACTTCTAGAGTCAAAATCGAATAACAAATGTGGTAAAAGTCTTATTAAAAATAACATTGATATTTTTGGATCTTATCCTTTCTTAGCTAGAATAGGTTTCATAAGTAAGTATATTATTTGCCATTCGTATAAAGTGCATTTCAAATTTCTACTTTAATTCTATTTCATTTAAACGTAGATTTGCAAACAGGACACATGAAATATCCATGCAGTGGTACGATTATAAATGAGAGAGCAGTAATAACAACGGCATCCTGTGCACTTGCTAATTCTCAAATATACAAATTGTATCCAGAGACATTTAATGTAATTTCAAAAGAGTAAATTGTATTAAACGTTTAATCGTTATTTTTTTTTTTTTTTTTTTTCTTTCAATAGATACTCCGTAGCTGTTGGAGAATTTAATACCGAAACGGATCCAGACTGTAATCCCTTATTTTGTGGTCATAAGATTCAACATTACAATATATCTTATATAATAAAACATCCAAATTATTGTCCAGACACTTTTGCAAATAATATAGCATTAATTCGTTTGGAAAAACCTATACATTTTGAAGGTAAATAAACGAATAAATTCATAAATTAATATCTTATAATCAAATAAATAAATTCTTATAATCAATAATAAATTGTTATACACAGTAACAGCACAACCAGTTTGTCTATTACCCAAAGAAATTTATATTAGAACAGGTTCAAATGCCGTATTAATCGGCTGGGGTAAATTATCGAATCAAAAAGGTATTTAAAAAGAGCACAAGAAAGTAATAATTGTTTGAACATTGTAAATTTCTTTCAGATTTGTTGACTATGCAACAAGAATTAAAGATGATATTGTTACCTAAAGAAAACTGCATGGACTTTTCAAATCAAGGATATTGTGTAGAATTGTGCGCTAGCGGAGAAACAGAACCTTGTTCGGCTTACAATGGAAGTCCTCTATTGTATAAATATGGAGATACATATTTTTTGGTAAATCGATTATTTCTTACTTGTCAACATACATTTATAATATGTAAAGTTATGTTTTTAAATTGTATCTATTTTATGCCTCCAGGTAGGAATTCTATCCTATGGTTCAAACTGCGATGAGCAATCAAATTTACCATTGGTTTTCGTAGATGTACAAAAATATGCGAGGTGGCTTTTAGAAAATCTTTAAATGCTTTATACAAGAATACTTACAACTTGATTTGCCTTAAAATCTAATTGAAATACATACATATATTACATTCGTTCGTTTCCATTCATATCTCAGAAGGGCTGCTTCTATTATCATTTATGTTTAAATATATTTAAATATTTGCCACGTGTCATTTCTTTAGCCTCTTCCATGCCAAGTTGATAGGCCAAATCGTGTAATTTTTTGACTTCCGATATGAGTCCTGTCATGGATAAATTTCCCAATTCTATAATAAAAATAATTTTGACACGCACCTACTCGTTAAGTGACTTTAATTTTCTACCTTGTCAATTACTTACGATGCAGTTGATTTAGGTCATCTGCCGTTAATCCGGATGCCCAAGTGGCTGGCTCCAATTGCGGTGAATTTTGAGCTACAAACTCGTTGACACCTGGAACTTCATCGGTCGCTAATATATATGATATTTTATGCTTTTAAATGGAATAAACAATACTTAATAATTAAAATTAATAATTATGCGAGATCAACTTACTTTGCTCTGGCCATAAATCTGGTGATGCTCGATCTAATTTTTCTAAGCTCATAAGACTTTCTTCTACGCACGTCAGATCTATTCGTAGAAAGATCGAAAATAAAAACTAGAGCTTTTCCTTGAAATCTTTATATTATGCAATATTATTAACGGATGTACGACGATTTAATGTTTTCATAAATGCAAACCCAATACTACAGTAGGGTGTTAAAGAATTAAAAGAAAAAAAAAAAATAAACGAAAAACAAAAAAAAAACAAAAAAAAAAGAAGAAAAGAAATATGTATACCTGTTTGGTCCGTATGTTCATCCGTCGCCATGTTGTTAGTGATTATTATTCAAATGGTTTATTCGATAAAGTAAACGTAAAATTAAAAATAACATCGGAAATAAAAACGAGACGAGGTGGATGGAAATGCACGTTCACGAAAATACACCTTTTTGTACACCTTTTTATTTCAATTAAAAACATAAATAATAATGTTTGAGAAGAAGCGTAAATTAAGAATTGTCTTCATGTTTCCGCAACTTTTTAGTCAAATCAATTTGTTGTTGAAGATTATAGATATTTTCTATTTTTCGGCGCTGTTGTCGTTCGATATCTCGCAATACACCCTCATGAAGTTGTTCTCTTAAAAAAAAAAAAAAAAAAAGAAAAAAAAGAAAAAAATGCATATAACCTCAAATCGAGAAAATATATTAATAACTTAATATTACCTGTCATATTGTTGTTTATAATGTACATATCCTATTATACTGAAAGATACTAGACAACATGTCCCGAAGGTGAGCTTGGCTAGCGTTGACATTCTTTTCTTTCTTTCTTATAGCCTATTTCAAAAAGATACTCTTTGTAACAATCGCAAACAGAAATTATCGAATGTCGTTAAGTCAGAACAATCGATCAATCGACGCCCGAAAGATCTAATCGATATATTAATACATTGTTACATCTATCGTAAGAACGTATACACACAACAAAAATTATTCGAGAAATAATTCGTTGATTAACTCGGTAATAATATCGCTGCCTTTTTTTTTTGTTTAATCATTTTTAGTTACAAAATAAGACGTGATGATGGTGATTAGTTTGACTTTTACATATTTATATAATTTTTATTTTGCAACGCTTCTAAAGAATTAAATGACGTACAATTTCAAATACATTACAATGCAATCTACATACGCGAGACGTATTAATTGAGTGACGACAATAATATATACATTAGTAATAATAAAGTAGTAATAACTTTACGATCTATATTTATAGTTTATCACTGGATATTAATTATAGAATAATATATCGTAATAAGACTTGTTAGTCTCGTCTAAGATTTGTTAGTTTGCAATAATTTGATGTAGTATAATTATGTATATTGCATGCTGTATATTGTATATGATCACATTTACGTAGATATTTCTAAAGCTAAGAGAGAGAAGTATTGATAATTGTTATGTGGAAGTAAAATAATATCTTATTTGTAGGCACATAATAAGGATTACATTCGTCTCAGTAAAAAACTATCATATTTATTGCGTCACGGTGCTATAAAAGAAGGATTATCAATCAGGACAGACGGATTTTCACCGATAGATCAACTTTTGTCTGAAAAATTACAAGGATATACCTTGGAAGACATAAAGAAAGTGGTAGAGACCAATGATAAGAAAAGATTTATACTTAGGGAAAATAATGGTAATTGGGAAATTAAAGCCACTCAAGGTCATTCTATAAATAATATCAATAATTTATACTTAAAGCAACTTGATCATGTCGATTTTGATATAATACATGGTACGTACTACAGAAATTGGGAAAGCATAAAGTTAAAAGGTTTGTCTCGCATGAGAAGAAATCATATTCATTTCTCTAAAGGATTGAATTTCATATGTGGATTGAGGAAAAGTGCAGAAATTTATATTTATATAGATTTTGAAAAAGCAAAAAGAGAAGGATTAAAGTTTTTCGAATCAGAAAATGAGGTAATCCTCTGTGCTGGTAATGACGAAGGAATTATAGAAAGAAAATATTTTTTAAAAGTTTATTCAAAGAATTGGAAAATATTGGATTTAGATTAAATCCGTAAGATAAAAAACATTTTAAATCGCGTATTTGTACAGATAAATAAATGCCTATATGAGATGCATATGTTTGAGTATATATAAATAGTAGTATTATAAAAGGATTAAATAATAATGGCAACTTACTGTGAAGTTTGTTCTTTGCAATTAAATGACGATTATGCATTTAGAACTCACTTGACAGGCAAGAAACATTTAAGAAATTATCAACAAAAAGAATTTCAAAGAAAGATACTTGAAAATTCTATATATGTTTCTCCTATACCAAGATATATTACTGCATATAAGTTAGTAGAGTTTTTTCTACAATTTGGCTCTATTGAAAGTTACAAAATTGGTCCAAATCATGTTATAATAACATTCGATAAGAGGTAAGATGGAAAAGTTTTAGCAATCGTTTATATTGATTGATTTAATTTAATATATAATTCAATATATTATCTTCCTTCCCCCCCCCCTTTTTTTATTAGAGAGCCCGTGGTTTATTTGCTAAACAATCCAATCTGGATAAACAAAACAAAATTGGATATTAAAAAAAGAATATTGAACAGTAAGTTTTATACGTTATATATAATACTATCGTCGCATATATTATTCCCTCATACTCATTAATTAAATAATTTGAAATATTTATTTTAAGATACAAAAAGGGAGTGTAATACTAATAATTCAACCGAGGTAGCGAAAGTTATAGATTTTGACTCTATAAAGAATATATTTGAGGAGGAAACTACATTTAACAGTCAACTCGATGCATTTTTGAATGCAGTACTTCTTAGCAATACCGAGGTTGAGACACGATACGAAAGTATCTGTAAATCTTTAAGTATTATATTTGCGTCCGTATTTCCAAATTGTCAAACTTATAGATTTGGATCTACATATACGGGACTAGGATTTAAAGAATGCGATTTGGACATCTATATGGATATTGGTAAAGTTAAACTAATAAATCTTAATGAATCTTAAATCAATAATTAATAATATATTTTAATTATAATTAATACTTTTGATTTGGACTTCTTATAGGTGTGCCAATATGCGATACAGGAAATAGTCCTTGGTCGATGAAGATGGTATTTAAACAAGTAAAATTTGTCATGTACAAGATGAATAAAATATTCACTGACGTAGTGCCAATACCAAAGGCAAAAACTCCTATTATAAAATTTTATCACATCCCAACAAAGATCTCTTGCGATATTTCCTTTAAAAATGGTTTTGGGATATATAACAGTAAACTTATAAAACACTGTTTGTCACTTGACATGAGATTAAAGCCATTAATAATAGTGATAAAGTATTGGGCAAGACAATATAAAATATCCGGTTGTGGAAAAATATCTAATTATGCATTAATAATGTTGATCATATTTTATCTACAACAAGCAGAACCATACATACTTCCACCTTTAAAGGAATTTCAGAAAACGTGTATACCAATAATTAGTAATGACTGGCAAGTGAACTTTGATGAAAATACGCTATTGCCACCAATTACCAACAACAGCAATATACCACAACTTTTGCTAGGCTTCTTCGAATACTATCTTAATTTTCAATTCAAAACGTATATCATTTGTCCCTGGGATGGTATATTACATACAAAAGAGGAATTCGCCAAAGTGGACAATTTGCCAAACTATATGGCACGATACAAAAATATTGCAACAACGGATGATCTTAAGCTTGACATTAATAAATTGGTTTGTATTCAAGATCCTATTGAATTGAATCGTAATGTTGCAGCTTCTACGTCGCAACAGGTCATAACGTCATTTCAAAAATATTGTGAATTGGGCGTACAAATTTGTACGTCGGAGCATGCAAACAATTACAAGAATCTTTTAGAATCTTTATTTAGTTCTGTGTCTAAACTAGAAAATGATCAGATACAAATAGTGGTAGCAATATATGCTGGCCCATATCTGAGTATCGGTTTGCCGGATAATTTTGAAAATCGTGATGACATAATTAATAAAGATCAATATAAAAAAGATAATTGGTATTTTATAGTATTCAATCTAGTGAAGGATATTTTTGAAAGAGTGTACAAATTAAAAATAGAAGTACTTTCTGCCGATAAAGAAGCTAAGCAACAAAAAATTGAAATCCTATCGGATGTACATACGAAAGAACATCAACAGTTTTTGTTGCACTGTACGGGAAGCGAATGTACGTGGTCTAATAGGAAGTCTGGTGTAACTCATTTAAGTTCTACCATGAACGCTTTGGACAGAGAAGCTAGCATATCGGACAATGTGCTAGAGGAGAACCGTAGAAGAGGTCGTCTAAGAGAAGTAAAACTAGACTTTATATGTAAATTTGAGAAAAAAGATAATCCGGTGCACGTCCAATTAGAACTAAATAACAAGAACAGCGGAGTGAAACTTTTTAAAGAATTTGGATATTTAGTTAGAGACAAAATACGAAAAATTGCTATGAATACTTTAATGCATATGCAACAACATGGAATGCATTACTAACTGATATCTATTATGCTCGATTGTATTAATAAACGTAAACATTTGAAATTCGATAATGTGAAGGAATTTGGTATTGGAGAAGGACCAAAATATTCCAACGGCAATTGTCTTATTTTCTTTGATTAAATATGATATTGATACATCGAGAAAATGTGTGGAATTTACAAATAATTAAATAAAAAGAGACACGATATTGTCAATTGACATGTATACATATCATATTTTCTTAATATCTATTTTTTAGAAAGATTATTTTTCTACGCAAGAATAATGATTCATCTGTAGATTTTTTTCCTTTTGTCCTTTTTCTTTTTTCTTTTTTTTTCTTTCTTTCTTTTTTTTTTTTTTTTTTTTTTTCCCCTAAGAAAAAATATACATTAATAAGAAAAAACAAGTCATGTAAAGAGTCGTCAATCATTGTCAATCAGCATTCGTGCATAAAAACTGTATGAGTGTGTGCTGCGTGTGTATGTGTGCGTGTGCGTGTGCGTGTGCGTGTCGTGTGTGTACCTTTCAATATATTTAAATTTCAATAGAATTCGAATCGCATTATTTGTGTGTAAATTAAGACTGATCGATCCCGATCTTTGAATCATAATAAATATAAATATTTACTTTTTCTTTTTCTATTTCTTACGAATAAAACTTTGTTAATCCATATTATAATAATAATTACTATTGATAATAAGTAATATGAGAGGAATTATAGGGAAATAAGGAATTTGATGTTGATCATACAAAACACTAGTTGAAGTAGAAGATTAGTTGGTTGGATTTCTTCTATTGGTAATGAAAATGGCGGAACTAGTAATGTGTCGAGTATTTGTCGTGTTTTCAATCCTTTGGATTTAAAGTGTATAATATTAGTGTTCTAAAAATCTAGGAAAGAACATGAATTGGCAATTGTTTATTTAAATATATCATTACGTCTCGTTTTTACGCAATACCATCGTTGGAATTAAGATAGGTATACATAAAAACAATATCGATTCATCCAGCAGAGAAACAAAATAAAGACAGATATATCTGACTGTGAGTTAATTACGATTGCGCTCGTTTTTAGCAGTGAAAAGCATGTTACCTTTGTCGAATCGCATTAAATTCCTATTTATGTAGCGTTATCAGAAAAATATGTCTGACTGCATGAATAGTCGAACAGATCCGAAGATCGGAAATTTAACGTAGCAGCGATTTAACGAGTCATTGATGGGTCTCTTACCCTTAATAAATAATGTGAAAGAAGAATAGAAATATATCAAAATCCAAAGTCAAAAGATTCCCCGCTGAAACTTGAAATATTTTATGCTCGGTGTACTTTGCAGTTACGAATCCTGATTTCTTTATTTAACATATAATATTTGAGCCAATGCTTAATCAAAATTGTAGACCATACATATTTCCATGTAGCTATTTTTTCTGACCTTGTATCTATTGTAAATAAGTACATACTATTTGTAAAAGTTAATGCTTTGCCTGTCTTTGTCTTAAATACATTTAAATTTTAATAAATGTAAGAAGCTTTTTAAAATGTACCAACCTTCTGTATTCTCCTATGTTTAAAAAAAAAAAATTGAAACCTCACGGAATAATTACAGTTTTTAAGCGAAATGAGTGATATTCCCAAGATGGAAGAATTTTATACAAAGACCATTAAAGTGGAAATCGATGCAGAAGCAGACGATTCATTGTTAGAAGATCAATCTAACATTTTGAAAAAAGGGACCATTATCAAAAGTACCAATGAAGATGTGCAACGTGCCATCGAAGGTCTCAAGGAAATACCAGATGAAGAACTTCAAGAGTTCTTAGACGATGACTTTATGGAAGGTCTCAATGTTGTTGATGCTTGGGAAGGGGAGGAAGACAGGAATCGCGAGGAGCAAAAACCTCGAGTTAAAGAGCACGAAGAGAGACAACTATCTAGGTAGCGATTCTTACTTTATTAAGAAAGATGTTTTTTTTTAATTATAATTATCAACTTCAATCTACTACTACCTTTAACGTATTGTTTTTCTGACATTGGAAAGAACGATTTGGTAAATAATCATTAGTATATCGTTGCCAGTGATCACTACTTAGATTTCTACTTGGAATCCTTTGTTTTTTTATCTTCTTTATTCGCAAAAAAAAAAAAAAAAAAAAAAAAAAAGGAAAAAAAAAGAAAAAAGGAAAGAGAAAAGAATTAAGCTAAAAAGAAGTTACGTCTGATTTACCGTAAGCCAGTGACATTTAGCAAAGAGTGATAGAAAGAATAATTATAGGGAACGCTATCGCAGAGAACGTAAACGGTCTTACAGTCGTGAGAAACCGAAACGAGAGGAAAAGAAACGTGAGGAAATTCGCCGTGACCCATCCAAGAGCACAAAGGACATAGAGAGAGATAAAATGCGTACGAAAAGGGACAACGAGAGTAAATTGTTGGCGGAAAAAGAAAAGGCCATAAAACACTTACTCGATTCCGACAACGTAGTACCACCAGGTACCGAAAGCGAAGCTATTCAAAGTATCACGGAAAAACAAAACGAGGAACGAGTACAAATTCGTAATCGAAGAAGTAGAGAACGTCGGAGAAGTCCTGAAAGACCAAAGTTAAGTCCAGTACGTAGAAAAAGTTACGATCGATTTAGAGCAAGCCCTCATAGAAGAATTTTGAGTCCTGTCCGTCGTAGGACTCCTTTTAGAATGAGCCCAGAAAAAAGGAGAAGTTCTCCGAGAATAAATTGTGATCGTAGAAGTCCTCTCGTATTGTCGCCCGAAAGAAGGAGAAGTCCGTACAGGCGATTGAGTTGGGAACGAAGATTAAGTGCGGATAGGAGATGGAGTGCTGAACGACATAGAAGAAGAACGGAAACGCATGAACGGTAAGAACATTGACTTTATATATATATATGTATATATATATATATATATATGTATATATATATATATATAAAAATACGTTAGACCGATCGCGCGATACGATTGAGAGTACGCACGCCCCCCCCTCCCCCTATTAATACCTCGAGTTGTTAGGACATTGAAAATAATGAGAGAATATTTAAATTGTAACTTTGAATTGTCAAGACGAAGAAGTCGATCTCGTGATCGGCAACGAAGTCGCAGCGTGGAACGTTTTCGAAGAAGGTCCCGTTCGCCGATTAGCAGGAGATACAGTCCAAGACGTCGGAGTCGTACGCGTAGCAGATCGTTGGAACGACGTACCAGGAAACGATCGCCCTTCATCAACGAACTTGCCAGACAATTGCGAAATGAAGCTATGATATCGAATTCTACGTATATATCAGCGTCGTCGATGGAAGGAATATCACCGATCATGAACGCACCTGTATATACGCAAGAGGGAGAAATTCGAGCACCATTGTCGCAGCCTTACATGCATCAGGGTGGACCACCGACGGCAGCGCAACCCGCGCCGCCACCACCACCACCACCACCACCGCCACCACCGCCACCACCACCGCCACCGCCATCATCGTCATCATCATCTTCCGTTTTACCAATGTCATCGGGTGTGCCGCAATTTATGAATTTCGATATTCCTGCACCACCGCCGTCAATGGGCTTCGACGGTGGTACTTTACATCCAATGCCACCTGCTCATTATTCCTCCGGACCCGTAATGTACAATCACAATACGGTACAAACGAATGCAGGAATGACGAGCCAACCAGGAACCAGAGTTAACTTAATTCCTGCGCCGCAACAAGTTACGCCACAGCCAGTGCCTGCGCCAGGAACGATGGATCATACGGTCATGGGATACGTTCCGCAGCACGGTTTATCTCAGGTCGTTTCACATCTAGACCCATCGAACGGGAATCCTGCGAACGCCTCCACGATCCTTTCGCCGTCATCTCCAAACTACAAAGACCATAGGACATCGTTATCGTCGCACAATGGATATCAGCCTCGTGAAGAACGCTTGAAGACTCCCGAACCGCCGGTCATCTCCGATACCAAAGTAAACACTTTATGTATCATAGCGATAATATTTCATTTATTCGTTCGATCGTCAATGTAACCGTGAAATTACATTGTTGTTACTTCTTCGAATTGATAATAACATAACGATGCATTTGTCCGATTGTATTACATTCGCACAAGATACACATAATTACATTCTACTAATGTCCGTTTCCATTTTATATCCGGAAAAGCTATTAATTCATTACTTTAAATTTAAACTTGCAGCAATTTGAAAAGACCAGCTTGTCCAGTCTACTGGAAGCGTCTGTTTCCGCTAAAGGTGCGAGTATGAGCTTTTTTTATTTTGTAATCTAACGAATACGTAAATCAATTTCAATTCGTACGTCTTTAACATGATATTAATACCGTTGCATTTTCTTTTTTATATCCTTTAGATTCGTCTAGTCCTCCGGTCTTATATCCAGGTGAGAATTTTAATGTTAACGATATTAAAGTGCTTCTTCCAATCGCGTTTTGTGCCTTGAGTGATGAGTATATCACTGCGATTGCTTATACGTTAACCGGTATATGTTAAGACGGTATGAAAGAAAGAAAAAGAAAGGGAGACGAGAGAAAACAAAAAAAAAAAAAAAAAAAACAAAAAAAAGAAAGTGAAACGTAACGCGACCCATTGTTACGCGTGATTAACTCTCCCTTGAGGAAGACACTCACGAAGCATGAAAATGATATGAAAAATAGACAGTATAAACACGACCGATATATTCTCGTATTAATCGTAGGTGGAATTTGTTTTTTCCATCGTAGGATTCAAGCCAGAAATACTACGGCATTGCGAGGAAGCGCTACGTGAACTTCCAATCGAAGATCCACGTTTAAAAATGAAGGGCAGATTTTTCTTTGACCCTAAGAAGGGAGATGGTAATAACAAGTACGAGGAATATCCTTCGAATTCTATACTCTTGCAGAAAGGCAATAGGATATGTTGGGAGGAGGATGATGCGGTACAACAGTACAATGCCTCTGTTACAAAGCAAGCCGTGCAAATGCACCAAAAGATTTGTCAAACCGAAGAGATCGAAACCGATACGAAGTACGTGGAAGCGCGCGTCGATATGATCGATTTTCAGATGCAAGTATATCCGGATGACATTGAGGAGTCGATCAAAGAACAAAGGAGATCGATCATGGATAGACTCGATTGGAAGATACGAGAGAAACATCGAGAGACAGACGACTTAAGGTGGAGCTTAACAAATTCCTCTCAAAAACGTTTGTGGAAGAAAGGATTGTCGCCTGGTAGGAGATCGGTCGAACGAGACCATCATCTCGAAGTCGTACCATCGCCCGAACATCCATCGAGAAACTTTAAAATGAATTCCCCTATGAGAAGTAGAGATAGCTATTCTAATCCTAGGGGATCGTTTCGCGATAATTACGTTCGCGACAGATATTCGCCAAATTGCGGACGTTCGACGAACATTGACGATTTTCGCGAGAACAGAAGTGATCGTAGTCACGGCGAAAGCCCGATGAAATTGGAGGATTCCGAGGAAGATTCGGACAATACGTTTACATTCCAAAGAGAAATATTGGATTGGTATGGAAAAGGAAAACCGTTTCGAGGGAAGACGACCAATTCGACGAGAGGGAAATGTTCGGGAAGTAGACCGTCTCGTAGACGATGCGATTTCAACAAGTTCTAATCTCATGTAGATTGTACGTATGGTAGATTAAATATATTGGAAATAATTATACAATCCGTCGTATGATACGAAATCGATGGTTAACTATGTAAAGATCAGACTGTATATTGTTATTTAAAAAAAAAAAAAAAAGAAAAAAAAAGAAACGAACAAACCGAAACGAAATAATAATAATAACAATAATAATAATAATAATGATAATAACAATAATAATAATAATAATAAAAAAATCGTCGCGTATATATATAAATAAATAAATATATATATATATATAATGACGATTAATTGTACCGTTCGGCACGAGTCTCTGAGGATAAAATTTTTTTCGACGCGTAAAAAATACGCAAACCCGTTGACTAAGTGCGTGCATGAAATTTCCAAAAGTGAGAGGATAGAGGGGAAACACGATTTACTTGCTCTGCACAAAGAAAAAAGAGAAAATAAAAAATATTGTAACACGGTGCCTACGAAGAGCATCGAGTCGCAATCTGTTTTTTCGTCATAACT